TTATTACATGTTAATACAAATAAATTTTATGAAAAATAATCTTTTCCAAAAGAAAGACAAAAGCTTTGCAAAATTCTTTAATGTCTAGCGTAAGAGAAGCCAGTTGGGTTTTCCAGCATTCAATATGCTATTACTTTAGTTACAGTGTATGAAGAAAATGTGCATTACAGAGATACATAATTGAAAAAGAGGAATATTTTAATAGCGTTCTTGGATAATACTGGATATTCATCTTTTACTCAACACAAAAATTCAACAAGCGGCAGTTCCTAAATTTAAGTTGGGGAATATGAACTCAAAACGTAATGGATTTTTGGCATTGTTGCCTAGAATCCACTTGTCTGTATTTTACTTTGAATGGATATCCTACCCATGCATGATTCTGAATCTGGTCATCTGAGAAAATACTGGTTTAATGAGTTATACAGATATCCAAATGTTGGCATATTATCTTACACAATATAGCTTTCCTTTCCCTCCACCCCCGCCCCGCCCCGGGAACCAGGGATTGAACTCAGGCCCTTGCACTTGCCAGGGAAGCGCTTATTGTACTGAGCCCGTTCCCCAGCCCCAATGTATCTTTAAATTAATATTACTTGGGGCCAGGGAGATGGCTCAGTGGAATAAGTGCTTCCCTGGCAAGCACAAGGGCCTGAGTTCAATCCCTGGTTCCGCCAAGAAAAAAAATTAACATTACTTAATATTACCTTCAATCTCATTAGAAAAGTCTTTAAGCATTAGGAAACTGCAATTTCACAGGAACAGAAACATGTATCCCAACAATCTAATTTTCACTTAAAAGATGAGATTTCATGTGTGGCAACAAAGAAGTTTTTTTTTCCCCCTCTAAAGGGACAGGTTCATTTCACTTACTTTCAAGGAAATATGTACCAAATATCTACATCTGATTAGTTAAGGTTTATCTATCAGTTATTCTCTTAAGTAATAATGGTGTTCCACTTATAAGGAGGAAGAGCTCACTTGCACAAATGCATTTCAATATGCAGAAATATTTTAAGCATACTAATCATACTAAATATTATTAAAGACATGCAGTCCAGGATAGAGATTTTTAAAAGTAAATATTTTTACTGCTTTGCCAATGGAACTGGCATTTTTAAAATGATTTAACATGTGCTGGGTGTGAAGAATACAGTAAGAACTCATACTATTTGGTGCAATTGCCTGGATTCATCCTAAGGCATTTGCAGTTTACCCACCACTGTTCCTTTACCTTCAGTCCAAATGTCAACATAGAGAAAGGCTAAAAAAAAAAAAAAAAAAAAAAAAATCTCAATTATGTTTTAATACATGTAAGGCTGATTTCATAAATCTCTTTAAAGGGTGCTAGGGATCCCCAGAAGTCTACAGATCACTCTCTCAGAACATTGTTTTAAAAAATTAGAAATTAAGTTCAATTCTAATAACTGAATCATATATTTCATGACACTTTTAGTCCACCAAGTCAACCTAGCTTATTCTTTGCAAAGGAGCTGTATTACAATCCCATGCAGGTTAGCCCAGCTCTACTAAATAGCTATCCAGGGTGGGGCCCTAACTTTAAAAAGCACTCTAGGAGTCCAAATTACTGTCAGTTTTACAAACCACTGATGCTGTTTACAAATTTCACTTTACACATTACCAAAAAAAAAAAAAAAAAAAAAGTAGAACAAATTCAATGTCATGAGTAGGTGCAATTAATTTAAAAGGCTAATTACAAATAAGTTATGTCATTTTTCTTTACAACTAGTGCTTCACCCTCCAGCTAATATTAGTAAAGATGTCTATAACAAAAATGCATTTATTGTGTTTACATACAATGAGTCCTGGCTTAGTTTTTCTAATTTAGTACTACATCTATCATCTTTTCACCAGTGATTCAATTGTTAAAATGACTGGCCAACTATTGGTATCAAACGTGCTAGAATTCACTAGTGATAACACTGATTAATACAATTAATTCATTTTTATATTTAGAAATACGCTTGACTTGAAAAGACTTTAGGTGCACACATTTATCCATCTGAGACACAGAAATCATTCTTTACTAAAAAACAAATATTTAGTAGCAATCCTTTGCCTTAGTCATAGGATTTGCATTCAAAACATGCAAATTGCATTTGATAAGACTTCAAATAGGGGCCAGGGAGACAGTTCAGTAGAATAAGCACTTGCCTGGCAAGTGCAAGGTCCTGAGTTCAATCCCCAGTACTGCAAACAAAAGAAAAAAGAAAAAAAGACTTCAAATAAATTACTTCAGTGTACTGACGGTGAAAAGGTAAGGTCTGTATTATATTAACACAAATGAAGTAATAAGGATAAACACTATACATAAAGCCTTTAAAATCAAGAGGGGCTTTTCCTACAACACAGATTCTCATGCTTAAATTACTTCTAAGATTTTTAGAAGTTTATTGAACTTCTAGAGACAGAAACGCAAATACGTTACAAACCAGCTCTTGGAAACTACTTGAAGTGATGTAAATGTTAAATTCAACATGTTCCTAGATGATCTCTAGAGAACTGCCAGCTAATTGGGCTAACTGAGCAATCTTCTCACAGTGTATAAATTAAGATCTGACAGCAAAAGTTAAAGCAGTGCAATTTGCCTCTCAGGAACCAAGTATAAAATGTAATCTCACATCTAACTTAATGGGTCTTCTGAAAGTATTAGCACTTCTTGTTTACTGTGATAGCCTTTGCACTGAGCTACATCTCTAGGCACTTTCATAATTTTTTTATTTTTTTTTGGAAAAAAATACCTGGTACTGGTAGCTAACAAATTTTATGATTTCCCCCTAAAAAGACCAAATTCTACTGGAGTTTAAATGCTAATTGAAGAATCTGAGGTAGTTTTTCTCTCCTCCCCTAAATGGGGCACAAGCATTTTAGAGTAAAGTGTTTTATTATTTATTTATTTATTTATTTAGAGTACAGTGTTTTAAAAGAGCAGCTTTCTATTTAAAATAATGGTATATAAACTTTACATCATGGGAAACACAGCTTCCCGAAATTTGCTACCAGACTGCTGAAATGATTTGAAAAATAAATGAAACAGAGAAAAGGGATAGAGGATAAGGTATGAAAGAAAGAGAAAGGAGACAGACTTGGAGAAACAAAGCAAAGGTGGCAGCTGGCACTTTGCAAGATTAAAGCAAAAGGATTTTAAGTTCTGAGTTCAGCCTGGGCAATTTAGTGATTTTTAACAAGACCCTGTCTCAAAAAAATTTATAGAAGGGCCTGGAAATGTAGCTCAATGTGATTGTTTATCACAATAAACAAAGTGTCAAAACTTTCAACAGACCTATTAAGTTAGATATGAGATTACATTTTACATGTACATACCACTGTATTAAACAATGACATAGTTCAAACACAGAACTTAAGGCTCACCTACTATAGTACTTTGACCTGGAGGCACCTACTCCAACTGAATTAAAATATCTGGAATGCTGTTAAGTTAAGCTGTGAGTGACTCAGGTCAATAATTTCTGTCATTGCCAGTTAAACAGAAGACCCAATGCTATTATGGGCTACTGGACTCTCTTAGAATATTTTGCTGAGTTTACACAGCTATAATATTCAGTAACTGAACTTAGGAAAAATGGGGTACACCGATGAATGTCCATTCTGTATCTGTGTATTCAAAGTGGTTGGGGTAGATATATAGTTGCATTGTCTTAATGAATGGAATGATTTGTTCTATTGGTGTTTGTAAATAGGATCACAAGTCCGCATCTTGTACAGCAATTAACCACTAAGAATAATATATGCAGTGTATTATTTGTTGAAACTGTACTTCTGATTTGATTTGAAACTGTCTCATTGCTATATGTTTATCAATAAAACTGTAGAAAAAAAAAAATAAAAAAAAAAAAATAAAATATCTGGAGTCAGGACCCCAGACATTAATGTTTTGTAAATACAACCTTCCAAGAATTCTCAAGGTATAACCAAGCTTGAACACTTAACTGTCCAGCAGAGAATGATGGTGTGTACCTGAAATCCCTACTACCTAAGCAGCGAGGCAGGAGGATCATAAGTTTGAGACCAGTCTGGGCAACTTAGCAAGACCTCATCTCAAAATTTTAAAAAGTAAATTAAAAGGGTTCAGGATGTAGCTCAGTGTTCGCTGGGTTTAATGCCCAGTTGAGGATGATGGTGCCTGCCCCAAACCTTGGGATTTATAAAGGCTGGGGGTATAATGAGTGGTAAATAGTTGCCTAGCATATGTGCATTAGGTACCTGGGTTTGATCCCTAGCACCACAAAAAGGAAAGAGGGGATTAAAAAGATTCCTGTATTGCAAAAAGTCTTCCATTTAAAATGTAAATAGCAAAATACAGCTGAAAGGTATTTATAATCATCACCAACTTTAAGATCTTTACAATCAGTCTCTGTTGCTATAAACCAAGACACTAAGACTTAAATTATATGAACCTTACAGAACTCTAAGAATGGTCTTGCCACTTAAGAGTGGTCTTACCATCTTAGTTTTTACATTTGTAAACACTACTCCAGTTTTCATTCACTCTCATGTTTAAAAATTTTTTAGATGCCAATTACAGCATGTAATAGCATCAAAGTGACAAGCAATTGGAATTCAGCCAAAATTCGTATCACCAAAATTGCACATTTTTAAAATTTAAAAAAAAATTCACAAATGTGACTCATCATGTTTGAAATATGAGGCACACAGTATCATACTGAAAGTAGCTCAAATGATATCTATATATATTTGTCAATGACTTGAATGTCTCATTTTAAATAACTGAGTCTTCAGCAACTTTTGGACAAAATGCCTAAAATTTGTTAAACCTGTACTGTGTTATGCTGGTCTAACTACTCCAACTTTCACTTAGCATAGAAAACAATGAAATCATCAAAACTTGTAATTTTACACATCACTAAAAACCCACTCCAAAATCTTCATTCCTCATAGCTTTAAGGAAAAAAATTCTACCTACACAGTCTTGGGGGGAATCTAAATATGTACAACGAGCACTGAAATGGTTAATGGGAAATGCTTCAAGGACCATTCACTCCAAAAATCATACTACAAATACCGTGAAGCATGAACTAAAGAGGGCAAAATAGAACTAAGTCTAAATATCAGAAAAATAATGTACTAGGCAAAAATTTAGACAAGACCAAATGTACATTTTAAATGTAACAAGCTCTCAGATCCTTTAGGGTTAACTGCTCTACCTACCACAGGCCCCAGCAAATTACAGTTCAATGAGAATAGTGTCTACAGATGTTACTATAACCCTGGCTCCATCAGGGGAAAAAAAGTGCTTTCAAGTGCGAGAGCTTGAGTACGACTGGACTAAATAAATTATTTTCATTTTGCTCCATAACTGGGAGAGGGATGTACAAAAGAATTTATACATATATAGACACAGCTCAACTAAAATGTAACTTAGGTGAAGCATTGGTTTTCAAAAATAAGATGTACTGCATCCTAGTGCTAACAACTGCTTCAACAGCAAAGTCATCAAGAATGTCCAATGGTCCACACAAAACTTATTCGAAAATATTTCAAAATTACTTTTTCAGTACATATTTTCATTAATTCTAAAAGATTTACATTTTCTCTTTTTTCTCTAAGTTTAAGATTTATATTGAAGATATTTAGCCAAACAAAGAAATATGTATCCCACTTCAAAAACTTAAAAAATCATGATGCAACAGCACTTTAAAAGCTAAGTAGAAACTGTCCTACCAATTGGGTTTGAAACTGTCTCATTGCTATTTGTTTCTCAATAAAATTATGGGAGAAAAAAAAAAGCAAAGTAACCCATAAACCTGGAAAGCAAAGAAAAAAAACACTATTAATAGACTCACAATATGCTACATCAGTCTTTTCTAGAAAGGCTTTTAGTTTTAATTCTAGCAACTTAAATGTACATAATTCACCACCTTTAATCTGAACACTACTCCAAATCATAAATCCTAGTTCTGTGACAAATCCATTTGAGAAAACAAAATTTTGATAGCGTTATGAAGTTAAAAAAAAAATTCTAAAATGCTGACTTTACCAATCATTTCATTTACACTTTGGAATATCACACGCTAGTCATCGGAAATTTCCAATATAGAACGTTTGTAAGTCCTTAGAACACTGTAGAATTTCCCGAGCTAGGTTTCAACTCACGTATATTTTAGTCTTGGTGCCACACGGCAAAGGTAACATGAAATCTACCATAAAAATTATTTAAATGTAGTATTAGAATCTAATTACTTTAAGAAATTATATATTTCTTGTGTTTTCAATCAAAACATGATTTCTGCCAATACAAAGTACTAAACCTACTTATTAAAAGACTCAAATAAAACTTACTGAGATGAAAATGCGGCTAAATCTTGCAAAAGTCAAAGGTTATTAAACCTTGCAAATTAACTAAACACACCCATGTCTTTGAAAATCTAGTTTGAGAAATCCGAACAGCAGTCTATGGCATGCGATGAAGCCAACGCCCTGCACCCTACACCAATTTCACGCACCGTACTTGTAGTTCTAACAATAAGATAAACTACGTCCTTTATTAGGAGATACATTTTATTAGGGAAGGGAGGAGGCTCGGTTAGGTGCTTAGACTGTTTCCTGCGTGCCGCCATCACTCACAATACCAAAAAAGTAAACAAATCAAAGCTAGAAACATAAGGGGGAAGAACACAATCAGGAAAAATAAAGTAAGAGAATATATGTATGTGCGTGTACACACACACGCACATACATATACTGTGCTTGAGAAAACAAAATTAAACAAACCATTTACTACTTTCGTTTGGATCTAAAGGCAACACACTTTAGATCAACAACGCGTTCCGCCCGGACCACAGAGTAACTACTCAGGAACAACAAAGCGGAGCGGCGACCGAGGCACAAGTGCCCAGTCCCCGTCCAAGTTCAACAGGATTGTCCGACTAACTACGAGCGGAGTTCGGGGTGCAGGATCGGCCGAGCAGGCAGAGGGGTTCGGGCGCGGCGGTACGCGCGGCCGTCCTGCCCTGCCCAGCCCTGCGGCCCCCAGCCCGCCCGCCCCGGCCCTCCGAGCGGCGGCTGTGCTCACTCGCTAGGCGGACCCGCCGACCTCGCGTGCGCAGCCCGCCGCCACTGGGAGCCCGCCCCGGAGCGGGGAAGCCGCGGGCGGGGCGCGCGGCTCGGCGGGGGAAGAGGAGGGGACATGGCGCGGTTACCTGGGCTCGGGCGCCGGCGAAGAGAATTCGCTCTCCCGCCGCTGCTCGCCCGGGGACGCGTCGCGCCCGTCGCTTCCTCCCGCGGCCCGGAGCGCTCGTCGGCCCCCGCCCCGCGGCGTCCGAGCCAGGCTGGCCCTCCTCGGCCACACAGCTGCCCGCGCGGGCCGGGCCGTCTCGAGCTCCCGGGCCGCCCCGCGGCGGGGAACCTCTCGCGCGGAGCGCCCGGCTTTCCGCACCCACTCCCGCCCCGTGGGCGGCCGCGAAAACAAGCGGAGATTAAGAAAGGCCTCCCGAGGAAAGAGGCCTGGAACGAACGCGAGCTCCGCCACCCGAGCTGCTCCGTTACCGCAGAGGCGACGACGACCAGGGCCGTGTTGTTGCTGCCAACTTGTCGAGAGGACACTGAGCATGCGCGCGCCGAGACCACATCCGGGTAATTTCAGGGTTTGGCCCTTTTCCCCCCCGCAGCCCTCCTTTCTCCCGAGTGCCCCCGCCTCCCGCCCCAGGAGACGCTAGGATGGCTCTGCGCAGGCGCCCGCGCGGCAACGCCTGCAGATGAGCTGCTGGGATAGCCGGCCCGCTCCTAACCTAGCGGATCGCGCAGGGCTCTCCTTTGGACAGAGGCTGTTCCCGGGGAGGGGTGGTCTTCATTGAGAAAGTCACCCTTTTGCAAGAGTTCCCAGGCAGCACAGAAAAACTGAGTGCCCAGTAAGTACTTACGATGAGCACCCAGCCAAATTTTTTGTTTTGTTTTGTTTTGTTTTGAGGACTTGAGTGGACACAAGAGTTTATTGTCAGCCAAGCAGTAACTCCGGATGGTTGTAGCTACTTGGGGAAGAAACTGGCAGCACTTTCTTTCTGTTCCCTCCAGCCCCAAATCACGAACTCCAAAGTGTTTAAACTCCAGTAAGGCGGCAGACGGTCAAGGAATCAAATTAGAACCCCTGTCACGAAAAGTGAGAGGTTCGAATTGCGAGAGACTTGGGCAGAATCTCCCAGTTGGAAGCGACCTTAGAGCTCTATCACGCGCCTATTAAGTAGGTTGCCCTTTGGGTGGGGAAATACATAAACTCTGCTTTTTAACTCTTGCTAACTTTATAAGATGCAGGCATTTTTTTCTGTTTGGGCATGTACCTCAGCGATAGAGCCCGTGCATAGTATGCAGAAGGCCCTCAGCTGCATCCGCAGCAACGCAAAATAATAATAATAATAATAATAATAATAATAATATAAAAGTTCCAGGAAAAAATCAATTATATGAGGTTTTTTTTTACCAACCAAGAAACTCCTCGTTGTGGTCTCTCTAAGACTAATTATTAAAGACAGCCCTGTCATTTCTTAGGTCATGTTGCCCAAAAACTATACACTGTGCCTACCATTCACACAAAGTCCGGTTCTGTCCTATTCATCATATTCTTGGGCTCTTCCTTCTTCTTCCAGAAAGTCCATAAAACTCTTGTCTTCAAACTGGTGTAACCTTACCCCTGGGATTAATGAAGACTTGACTAGTTTTAAGAAAATTCATTTCCAGATCTTCCCTATGATATGTATTGTTTTCTAAAATTGCTCAATTTGAGGTGACAGATGAGAGCACAGCATCTCCTTACAAAAGTGTCTTCCCAGCATACAAAAGAAAGTCGAAATTGTCATTCATTACTAAGGTGACCTACAATGTCAGAACCTCCCAGGCAATCCAAAGGCATCCCTCAAGAACTGGTGTCTGTGCTGAGAAAGTAAATGACGTTAAAAAGAGGGTATTATAATCATTTACAAATCAAGTAGTTTCCAATTCTTTGCTGTCAACAGAATTAGATCTATCAGCTGATATATCATTAAAATGACTTGGTAAGACACAAGTATGTGATTCTGCAATATTATACCTCAGAAGTTTTAAACATTGAGCAACATTACTATCACTATATATCTTCCATTCCATCTGTATCTATTAAGTGTTATTGTATAACAATATTCCCAGAAAATTAGAAGCTCAAGGCAGAACACATGTATTAGCTTATAGTCTCTGTGGGGATCAGGCATGGCTTTCCCAGGTCCTGTGTAAAGTAATGGTCTACTAGGATGAAGAATCCATTTTGGAGGTTGCATAGTTGTTGGTAGTGTCCAGTCTCTTATTGGCTGTTGCCATAGGCCCCTTCAGTCCCTTGCCATGAGACCTTCATAGGAAAGCTCACAATGTGCAGCTTCCTTCTTCAAAGCAAGCAAAAGAGAGAGCCTCATCAAGACAGTGGGTTCGTTTGTTTGTTGGTTTGTATGTTTAAAAAGGTGTTTCTGTGTTGCTCACACTGGCCCTGAATTCCTGAGCTTCCAGTGTCCTGAGTAGCTGGCACTCCAGGTATGTGCCACTGATACAGGGAGAAAAACTGGTCTCAGGTGGGTGACCTCCAAACAATATAGGGAACCTCCAAATGACATAGAGAAAAAACGATCTCTGGACCTGACCTGCACGAGTTTGTGTCCTCTAAAACCAAAGAATGAATTTTAGGAACAAACAGAGGTTATGAGCAGAATATATTTATTGAGAGAAAGAAAGCTCCTGTCCAAGAAAGGGACAAGGGGGGGGGGGCCCGAGCAGGTAGTTCCCCCCTCCCCAAGTTGTCTCTTGCAGGGCCTTTTATAGAGGAAAACCTTGTGAGGCAGTTCTAAGGTGGAGGAGAAGACATGGGAACTTGCTTAGTTGGGCATGAGGTGGGACAAAACTATGGTCAACCAATGAGATTACAAGCACCATTGCTCAGGTAAAATTGATTAAATCCAGTATCAAATGGGAAAGCGAGTCACATAGCAAGCGGGCACAAATATGGAACAGGGCCTCCTCCTGTTGGGGGTTGGGCTAGTGACTCATTTGGGCTCTTTCAAGTTGATTGATACTATTTAGGATATCAATCCCTAATGCCCATCCCTAGGGAAGTATGTAGCTCTGCTTCCTCTTCTTCTCTTGGTCTTCAGGTGTGGCCCACTTGGGAGTGTCTGTTTCTTCCAAGTTGCAATCACCTTGTCTTCCATCTTGTCTCCTTGAGAGCCTGACTCTGTCTGACTGCCTGTAATATTTCTATCTAACTCGGCTGCCTAAAACACCACCATGCTTGGCCTGGTTACAATTTGTGTGTGTGTGTGTGTGTGTGTGTGTGTGTGTGGCCAGCTCAACCCACCTGGGGGCGGGGCTGGCTGGCATGTAGTGCTGGGGGATTGAACTGCAGTCCCTGTGCTTTGCTAAGCTTGTTCTAAGTAGGTGCTTTAGACCACTGAGCCATCTCACCAGCCCTGGTTACAATTTTATGTAACATAATCATAAACCCTAACCTAAAGTAAATAACAGGTCTTGTCTTCACTTAAGAGGAAGGGACAAAAAAGGGTATGAACAGGGTAGGGATCATTATAATCTGTCTACTGTAATGTCCATTTATCTATGTAACATTCTCTATAAGCTCAACCTCTTTGAATCTCTCTTCAGGTTTCCTTCACATTTTTTGCTTAAGGGAAACCTGACTTTGCCTCGGAATTCTGCTGCTCCTTCCACCTCCCAAATAGTGGCATCTGTGTTTTCAACCCCAAAACTCTTAGACTAAGAGGTGAGTTAGATGCCCTAGAGGTGTGGTAGGTGTCCTCTCTCCTCAACAATGCTTCCAGACCACCTACCTCCTCCTCCTTAGCAACCAAAACTTTATTCCTATCTAGTTCTCCTGCCATTACTCTCCTTCCCCTTCTGTTTTTCACATCTGTTCCTGTCAGTCACTCAATGCTATCTCTGTCCTAATCCCATAGTAGTCATATCTTTAGATTATATTTCCAGTACCCTGGCCCTTCAATTCCTTAATTTTTCCTCCACCAAGGTTCTTACCCTCCATCCTAATTCAGCCACTTGCTCCTTTGGTTGTAATCATGGGAGCTTTGTCAAACTGCAGCTTCTTCATAATCACAATTTCAAACACCTTCTGCTGTGGCCACCACCTCCTATTTCCAGTTCACTTTCTGCAGCACTCTAATAGCAACAACTCTTCAGCCCTTGCCTCTGCTCTTTCCATCCTTACTCAGTTTAAACCCCTACCCAGTTGTAGTCATGCTTGCACATAATCAGAGCCTGCCCCCAGTATTTCTCCCCTTTTTGTACTTGGCAAAATCACAGTCCTGATTCAAGTAAGCTCTCTACCTACTCTGCACCACTACTCATGCTATAAATAAAAAAAAATCAACCACACTGACTAATTTCCCTTTAATTTCATCACCTTCATATTGACCTTTAGTGTTATACATTCCTACTTTCTCCTCCATTCTGTCTAGATTTCATACTTTCTCTGAAACCTATACATCATCCCCTCCATCCTCATTCTCATGATTCATATTGATTACCTTGATAAATATTGAGGAAATTGAAGCAATGAAACAAAAACTTACACAGAATACAACCATCACATCTACCCATACCCAACACTGTCCTTTCCCTTCTCCTTCATTACATAGAGTTTCCATGCTTCTAGGTAAAGCCAGACCTTCTGCTAAGTCAGTGGGTCCTACTCCCCTTTTGCCAAGTAAAGATCATGACCTTTACCACAGTAGTTATTCCCTCTCCCACAGCATCACCATTTCCCTCTGTTGATTCATTTCCATAACTTAGAAGCACCTGTTATGTCTTCAGTTGCACAAGTTCTTTTTGACCCATTTCCACTGTCATCTACTACCCATTTCTTTGATTCCTTTGCAATAAAACTTCCAAGGATTTTCACGTACTATACTTTGTCCCTAGTTCTTCTCCCCTTACTCTGCAGTGGTATGCATACAATATGACACTATTTATTTAAAAGCCAAAAATATGTCAAACACTATTCACACATGAATACTGTACATACATAGAGTAGAATCAACACACACAAGGCTATACATATAATAGCAGATTAGCAGCGGAATTCGTAGGTTTTCCAACCTCTCTTCACTCCATCATGATTTCAACCTTCCCATTCTATCAAAATTAGTTCTCTCACAGTCAATACTCATCTTCAACTTGGCCAAATCAAATAATCTACTACAATAAAGGTGAATCTTTCAGAACTTTCAGTGATACAAATAGCCCACTGTGCCATGCATGCCATAAGTTCGCCACCACTGATTTGGTCTTATTCTTAGCTTGATTGACTTGTCTTTACTAGTTGACACACTAATTACTCGATTCACTTTTCCCACCTTGGATTTTTTCCTTGGTCTCTCCATCTCTGTCCTCTCTTCTAGGTTCATCTCTTTTCTCAAACCTTGCAGCAAGTGACCCAGGAATTTCTATCAGTATTCATTCCTTTAGTGATGTCATCGGATCTCCTTTCAGTATCATCTAAGATATATGATATCTGATCTCATTTCAATACCATCTAAAATATATATCATCATATATGATGACAACTCCCAAGTTTGTATCTCCAACTCAGACCT